CCTTGATGTGGTGTGGTAGAATTTAGAAAGAGCTGAATTAGGCACAGCAGCTAACATGATAAAACTGTTTGAATTCTTGTAGTGTGAGTGGTACTTTGATTGTCGTTTTTGCTTGTTCCAAAACACAAATTCTTGTCAACAACAGTGCAGGTATATCTGCAGGTTACACACTTCTCGACGACATCTTTGGCAATTTCAAAGCTCACATACCTACGCTTTTCAGATTATAGTGCAACAACTGGAGAATGTCCAAATTAGGGCAGAGAGTGGAAGACAAATCCGAGTAAAGATTTCCAGATCCGAACGAGAAAGGTTTTAATTTTTTAAGGCGGTTATATTCTCACAACACAAACAAATTCATTTCAACTCAATTCAATTCAACGCATCACACGCTTGACCCTGCTCATATTCGATGTCCAATATTCCTTGACTGCCGTTCCAGCTTCAGCCTCTCTTCGACATGCTTGGAGCATTTAATGTCCATTGCTTCTGAGATATATTAAATCTTCGCGCACGAAACACAGACTGAGTCTAGCTACTCAAATACATAATTGACCATTTTTTGCACTTCCTTAAAAGTAGTGAAGACGGCAGTGAAGTCAAGGAACGAATATGTACGATAGGTTAACTGTGCTTCTGTGAGGAGAAAAATAATAAAAGACATCGCGTTCAGAAGATATTGCAATTCATGGTCCCTTTGTGTTATGTAGAAGTGCCATTGGTAGTATGTGGTATGCCAGCGAGCACCACTGCCACCACTGTTGTCGCATAAAAGTGTGGCCGTTATGACTGCGCGTGACACTATGGCACAGCCGAGGGGCTGAGCCTTAAAGGCAGCGTCCAGAGATTCTCGACTTTTACATCTTCATGTTATCCAGGCTTTTCCATGGCGCTGATTCCGAATATGGAACTCAAAAAGCGTAAGTTTCTCAGAAAACCACCTTTTGGGGTTATTTTGGGAAAACCGCTGCCTTTAAAGCTACTGCAGCATCGGTGATGGCGCATCTTGAATGAAACCTGGACATTTTTCTTTAGAAAATTATAGGGTGCTCTTCAAATGCAGTACTGTAGGTGTGATGTTAGTGGGCAAACTGGGGAAAATCGTTGAGTAAATATTTCGATGTCGGAAAGGGATTGACAGATATGAGTGCTACTGTACCATTTGACCCAAACATGACGTAAGGGCTAGTCAGCCGGTGTTTCCTGCGACAGAAGAGACCTTTTTTGCAATTTCCTATTTGTTTCTCCAGGAACATGTCTGGTGTAGCAAAGCCTGTTTTGCTATGCCTGTAAAATCAATAGTGTGATGGTATCTTTTTTTACACCTTAGGGCTTTGAGTGACTGAGTTTCTTGTAACTCACCAAGAGTATTAGGTTATTCCGAAAGTAATATCGCATTTTCAAAGGGGCGCCACGTGTGATGGAACAAACATCTATAAGAGATCTTGGTAGCAGTCGATACAGAATTTCATCCTCTTTCTAATCATTGAGCTTTCAGAAAATAACCAAAATCTGCAACCCATGCTTTTTGAGATGGTCAAGTTTCAAAATTTTCAAAACTTTCATATCAACCCTCAAAAGGAATTTAAGTAACGATTAGATAGAGCAAACCCTACTGGATACAAAACAATTTTTTCTCCTTCACACAATTCCTCAAATAAATGACAATTCAACTGATGCTACCAATTTGCATACTTGGTCAACTCAAATCTCGTAGAACATCAATGAGAGAGCAGCTTGGGTGCTGTTCGATGCAGCTTTTTCTGCTCCTTCTAATAGATGTTTTTTTATTCCCGATTTGTTCAGCCTTCGGGACTAAAATCGTCATAACTCATGTTTTTGAACGCGCCCCAAGGCTGTACCCGAAGAACTCGAAGTTCAGTATTTCGAATCGGCAAACTTTTATTTGCTTTACAAAATCAATATTAAGTCATATACCATCTTGGAAGTTTCAAATTCCGAGTAATTACTAATGTTTGATGCGATTGTGGCTGACGTAGGCCTGCCAAAATCGATGATTTTGGTAAAAAAATCTTTTGGAAAAGTAGGGCGAGTCTATAAGATTTGCTCTATCTAATCGTTACTTGAACTCCTTCCTTTTGGGGATTAATATGAATGTTATAAAAAATCGTAAAACTTGACCATCTCAAAAAGCATGAGTCGCAGATTTTGGTTATTTTCCGAAAGCTCATTGACTGTTTTGCAACAATTTCATATCCATTAGAAAGAGAATGAAATGCTGCATCGATTGCTTCCAGGATCTCTTAGAAATCTTTGTTCCATCACATGTGGCGTCCGTTTGAAAAAAGCGGAATTACTTTTGGAATGACCTAATAAATTGGTTTTCGGATTTTTCATGGCTTGGTAATCGCCTTGAGGACAGTGATCACCGTGGGATACATCGCTGTGCAAAAATTTTAACAAATAATCAGGTAAACTCTTGGCAAACCAAAGTTTACGCAATCAATCTTTTTGGCGCCACCTCCATAAAGTAATAAACTTTTGTTCACTTTTTTGGGCTAAGGCCCATGACTTGCACATTAGCTTTCAAACGTACTTATGACCTTGCAAAGGTGCTGCTACATTCACAGTTTTGGTGGCCAGAAGTTAAGTAGATTCGCTTAAAACACAATTTTTGAGGGCTCCATTCAACGGATCCGCTTGCAAAATTTGAGCTCGAAGGTCGGCTGAAACACGCTCTACGAATTTTATAACGGACAGACACACACACACGCACACACAGACAGAAAGACGCATGACTTATAATGAGCCGCTTATTTGTCGGTTTGTAAGTCTGTCTGTTCGAAAATACAGTGAGGAATGATTTACAATTCTTTGGAGCATGTGAGGTTCTGATAGCAAGTATGGTTCATTTTCAATTAGGACTCTCTCACCGCAGTCAACTTGGCGATAATTTTGAGTACCCCTGTCGCAATGTATTAGTGCGAGCCTCTGCGAAGCAGAGGTGAAGTCACTGGTAAGTCATAATACTATTAGGTCGTTTCAAAAGTAATTTCGCTCTCTTCAAACGGGCGCCACATTTGAAGGAACAAAGATTTCTAGGAGATCCTAGTAGCATTCGATGCAGCATTTTATTCTCTTTCTAATGGTTATGAAATTACTGCAAAGCAATCAATGAACTTTCAGAAAACAACCAAAATTTGCGACCTATGCTTTTTGAGATAATTAAGTTTCACAATTTTTCAAAACTTTCATATCAACACTCGGAAGAAGTTAAAGTAACAATTCTATAGAGTTAATTTAATAGAATACAGCACTACTTTTTTTCTTTTTCCTAGTTCGCCGTAATTTTTTAAAAGATTTTTTAACAAAGCCATCGAATTTGTTAGGCCTACACTAGCCGCAATCGCATCAAAGATCATAATTATTCGGATTTTGAGACTACCAAGATGGTACTATGAGTTAGCAAAGCAAGCGAAAGTTTACGGATTCGAAAAATCAAATTTCGAGTTTTTCGGTTATAGCCTGGGCTCGCTAAAAATTGAGTTATGAGGATTTTAGTTCCGAAAACTGAACTCGGAAACAAAAACATCTTTAGAAAGAGGAGAACAAGCTGCATCGAATGACACCCGAGCTGCTCACCGTTTGATGTTCGATGAAGATGAAGCGCCCTTTGAAAAAAGCGAAATTACTTTTGAAACGACCTAATATATCCAAAGCATTCTTTCACTAGGGTAATGATGCGCACTGTACCGTCTTTGAGTTTCCATACTTGTAAAATTTTAATCGAGGAGTTTAGAAAATGCTTGCGAAGCTTCGGGCAGAGTTCTGTTATTTCCGCGATTTCTCCAAGAAAACAAACAGTTGTTTTATTGCATGCCGATCATCTTGCATTTCGTTTGTGAAAGTTCTCCGACGCAAAATCGTGACTAACTAATCAGCTAAAATGCAAGTTGATCGAGACGCAATGGACTTGTAACTGTTTGTCTTGTTGAAAGAATCGCTGCGATAAAATCGCCGTGAACTCTGCGAGGCATAAGGCGTCATTATTAAACACATTCCAACTTCATATTTCGAGCATTTTGGTGCAAAAGTTACTTTACAGTCTGATATAACTAAGACTCAGAATCGAGTGTGGTAAGGGTACGTTGTTTTCGGGAACGTCTTCTATTGAACGCTTAAGATACTTCGCATGACGTTATCCCCCGTAGCTCGCCTAAGCTACATCTTGAGTCGTTTCGCTGAGGCCTTATGGATTTATCAATTTGGAGATTTGCAACGAACACGATTTTCAATTAACGCTAAAAAGCCACTTTCATAATTTTATGCAAACAGTAGGCATGCAGTAGAGTAGAACTATTTTCGTGGTGGAAGATGCATTAGGCATTAGGCAGATACGCAAAACCGTGATATATTCTACTCGTCCACCGCCGCTCGTAACACGGCGGCTTTTGAGAGGGGGAGGGGGAAGGAGAGGGGGAATTCTTCGGTAGCATGTTATGACAAGCCGCCAAGGTGGCTGCTGTAGTTCGTCGGGCAAAAAAGAACCTTATGCGGTCACGCAAAGCAGACGTTTGAAGTGAGCCTAGGCTCAGCGGAAACACATACCAAATGCGGTTCTGAGGGAGGTAAGTAAGAGTATGCTAAACGAGTGCTGTACTCGGTCATGCTTGTTGAAAATAAAATAATCGTACGGGTGATTTTATTAATGGCTGAAAAATAACATGTATAGTTTGCGAGAAGCTTTTAATTATAAGGCTACGATAGGAACTTTAAAGAGGTTTTTAAACTATGAAATGTTATCTATGTCTTTTTGTCTTATTTTGCCTCAGAAACTTGTTCCTTTTAACATTGATGTGTGGTTAGTAGAATTGTGAAAGAGCTGAATCAATAATAATGCAGCTAACAGATATTAAAATTGTTTTGAATGCTTGTGGTGTAAGTGCTACTTTGGTTGTCTTTTTAGTTTGCTCGTTTCCAAACACAAATTTGTGTTAACAACTAGAGCAACTATATCTGCAGGTTCCTACGCCTTTCAGATTATCGTGCGACAACTGGAGAATGTTAAAATCAGGGCAGAGAGTGGAAGACAAATCCGAGTAGAGATTCCCAGATCCGAACGAGAAAGGTTTTGATTTTTTGAAGCGGTTATGTTCTCACAACACAAATAAATTCGAGACTTTCTAAATTATTTGCAACCTTCGAAGACGAGGAGAAGACGCTACAAATCGACAGCTTTGGTTTATCTGCGAATGCTTTTGAAGAAGCCTTTCTCAGGTACAAAAAGCAAAGTAGATGCATTTTAAGCTGAGCGTTATTCAGAATCGGCGAGATTAGGGACAAAGCTGAAAGCAAAAATGTAGAGTTTTTAGAAGATCCGCGCTATGCTGAACTGCAAGAAAGTAATTTTTTGCTATTGTTATCTACAAGACCTTAGAATAATACTTTGCAGATAATCTTGTTAGACTTCTGCAGCAAGCTAAATACATTTGGTTGAAGAATTGGTGGAGAACGATCCACAGCATACCTTTGATTGTCGAACAAGTACTTGTCCTTTTGAAAATTTTCGTTTGCCAAAATATCCTCACAAATTGAGCTCAAAAAAGTCAAATCAGCTATGCCCAAAGCAGGGCATTTTACGAGGTGCTGCTTTTTTCTAATAGATGAGTTTCTAACAAAATAAGTAGAGGTTTGAAACACTTCAAATGCTAAGAAATGAGAAAAAGAAAGACTCAAATACAGGTGGACTGCATTATGTAGCATTTTTCAAAGCTTATATCTGGACCATTATTTCCTCCTTTTCTCGGGTCATGAACTGGATTAGTGGCTTATCAATTCTTTTGAAAATACTAACAAATTGAGGACAAATTGAAATACTTGACTACACGCCAGTAAAAGGAAATGCGTGACTTATTCGAATCATGGCTTTTATTGCAAAGTCAGTCCTTGTAAGTTTTCAACAGTTGACGACGAGGATTGACGCGCACTTTGGATAAATCGTTGTTTAGTTAAAAAATGTCAGATTCAAATAATCGGTGATGATGACTTGCATACTGAAAACGAAGAGACGCAACCGCCACTTTTAGTTTTCTCAAAATGAGAGAGTTTTATGGAGAATTAGTTGACTTACCCGGCTCCGCCCGGCCCTGTCACATATTCGTAATCAGCATGCTCCATTACCCCCATGTGCCAACTCCCAGCCCCGTTGCTCGAATTTTGCAAAAAATCGATAAAATCGATATCGATCGATACGAAAAGTAGTCTATGACACCCGCCGGGGCCCGAAGTGTATGTGAGCCAAGTTTGGTCCGGATCGGTTCGGAAATGGAATTTTCTATTCGGAACATACGTACACACAGACAGACATACATACATACATACAGACAGACAGACAGACAAACAGACATTCATCTTTATATATAAGATAAGCTTGACTAATAACGATAGATCTGTATTAGAGACATCAAACTTAAAATCTCCGAAAAATGCATTTAATCATGTGTTTTATAATAGTTGACAAAACAATGACGTACGCAATTTGCACCAAGTTTTGTTTAAATCACCATACATAATCTGATGCAGCTAAAATGTGTTTGTCAATAAACGGAAGCCGAAAAGTACATAACAGTCATATAATAGATAGTAGTAGATAGTAGTTTTACATAAACAATTCGTGCCATAAGTTCGTAGCGCTTCCATAAAGCAAAGAAATTATAAAAATTTGTTAGAGTTCGGTCGTTTTTTTTGTTCGGTCGTTCAAAACATTTTCCACTATTGCGCACAACTTTCTGCCACTTTGCCGTCAAATTCCGTTTTCAAAAGTCAACGGGTCTGGTACTAAAAAAGTCGTCTAACCAGGGCCTGAGATCGTCTTCGAAACCGTAACAAGCACCGTTCTTACGATTTGCAACGCAGCTGGACAAATGATCATCTGGTAGTACGAGATCTGAGGAGTTCATCGGATTTTATATGTCTCCCGATCAAGTCTCGCAAGACACTTTTGACGACGTTTGCCTACGGAGCCATATTTCTTTATGCAGAAAAGTCACTTTACCTTTTTTTGGTTCATTGCAGTAGACTTTAGACTTTACGGGTTGCGCACAGAATGAGCGTTTTGTTCATGTTTAGCAATTTTCAGTGCAGAACCTCCTGCCCGTCCTGCAAAAAGTCTTTCAGGAGACATCCTGCAAAATCTTAATTTCTTTGAAATAATCTCATTCTTTTTTGTCTCATAATGACGGAAAGGCGCCATTTTTTGTACTCGACGAAACACTTCATGCAAAAACACTTTTTTTCACAAAAAAAGAAGCATATGTAGAAAATGCTTCTTTTTGTCGTTTGAAAATTCCATATTTGGAAACTGAGAAATTGAAGCGAGTCAGCTTTTTATCAAACCAATAAGTTCATTGTAAAGAGCATGGTTATCTATCTTCAAGGATATGCGCATCTTGCCGCAAAACAACCGCCTTTTAGAGAAACAAGAACGAAAATAAAAACGCTACAAATTTATGAAACGACCTAATAGTTAGATGGCGCTAGCTATTGCTATTGTCTTACCATACAATGCTTTGATGTTGCTCGCCTTTTTGCTCTATTTGTACATAATGTACCAAAAAATTTCCCTAGCATTTTTCGCGAATAACTTTCCTTAAGTGTCTTTCTTCGCCTTCTCTAATTTGGATCTACAGTATACAGCAAAATTTTTTTGCTTTGCTCAAGCGCCTTTCTTTGCTGTACGATCACGGTATACAACTGGAGGCACATAGCGACTTTTGGAAAGAACAAAATAAGTTGATTATCTCTTACACCGAACTGATAAGTGTCGCTGATTTCTAATATGAAACCAGCACTTTTTTATTAACTATGCCAAACATACTGTAGCAGCTGTTTTTTGATGCAAAAGCTTCCATTATACAATCCTAATAAGAATTGTAGAGACTTGTTGAGGAATAAGCGTGCATGAAAACCTTGTTACAGGGTGCGTCAAAAGTTTGAGAGCCTGGTAGTTTTTTATATATTTTTCATATAAGGCCCGTATGCACGTACATCCCCGCTGGGGAGGGGAGGGGATCTGAGAGGGGATGCGTCATATCTCGCTACTTTACGTATCTTTCTTCTTCCTTTTCTATCTTGCTTATGAAGGTTCTCATACCCTACTACCTGCGCATAATGGATGCCAGGTTACTGGCATAACTGATTAGATTTGTACTATTTTGTGTGATCCCCTGGGGATCCCCAGGGGATCCCCGGGGGATCACCTCTCATTTTCAAGGTCATTTATCTTCCTGAGAAGTCAATGGAAACGCCGCAAAACTGCACTGAGGATATGCTACGGCACTGCTAAGCATGTTTTCGACAGAAAAAAAATGGAATCTGAAGATTGTGAATTTTTCGATGATCCCTAGCTTTTGAGCCAGGGATTACCGAAGATTTCGATATCCTGAGATTTCACTTCTTTTTACTTTAAACATGCTTAGCAGTGCCGTAGTATATCCTCAGTACAATTTTGCGGCGTTTTTATTGATTTCTCAGGAAAATAAGTGACTTGGAAAATGAGAGGTGATCCCCTGGGGATCCCCAGGGGATCACACAAAATAGTACAAATCTAATCACTTATGCCAGCAACCTGGCATCGATTATGCGCAGGTAGTAGGGTATGACAACCTTCATAAGCAAGATAGAAAAGGAAGAAGAAAGATACGTAAAGTAGCGAGATATGACGCATCCCCTCTCAAATCCCCTCCCCTCCCCAGCGGGGATGTACGTGCATACGGGCCTAAAATGAAAAGGGAAGTACCTAGAAACGAAAAATTTGGCGCACATGTAACTCGAACCATCGCGGGTACAGCCCAGTTTTTGAATTTCTAAATTGCCTCTTTTGGCTTACAGGCGGCCCCACAAAGTCTTGGCAAGATTTCCTGTCTTGGCACGCAGGTACTCGTAGTGAAATTTGCTCCACGTCTTCACAACAGCTACTTCTTTTACCTTGGCAAATGTGCAGTATGATAGAGCAAACTTTTCTATGCAACATACTTCCAAAATGATTTTTCGCGTTGCCTAGAAATAAAAATATTGGATTTTTAATTACAAGCGTGTTTACGTTGCATACCGGAAATTTGGCTACAATTGCGCAAAGGAAAGAGGAAATTATTAGTTAAAAAGTATAAAAATTGTTCCTTTGACCGAATTTTGATAGATTCTAATTGAGAAGACTATGCAAAGAATATAGACATAGCCATGGCCTCAGTGCCTGTTGCGCTTCTACAGCCTTTAAATTTGTTACGAAGACGGATGGCCACTGGCACGTAGGCATTTGCAAACTTTTATTTTCCTTTGGTGCAAGAACAGCTTATGCTAAAAGCCACACTATGATTCAATAGCGAAAATCTTCTTCTATATTGTGTGCATCAAAGTGTTGTTAAATATCAGCAGCATCTAGGCTGTAGCAGAAATTGTAAATACTAAAAAATCTGGTTTTTCGCTTTGCAAAAGTACTAGCTGGGTAATTTTTAACCATACAAAAACATATGGCAGCCATTTCAGCAGGTAAGGTGCATTTTGTGGAGGATGACCGCAGCACTATGGGCATAAAAATGAATTTAAAACCATCAGTATTTACGTAATTGCAGTACTGCAAATTTAAGCCCCAGACTTTTGACGCACCCTGTATACAACTTTTAGAATTTTTTGGAGATTTCTCAGTAAGCGGCTTATCACAATGGCATCAGAGGTTACAAGAACAAGCAATCAATGATTTGCTTCGTCTCTTGCAACTAAGTTAAAGGCAGCTTTACAGAATGGTGTCTTAAAAGACGTGTCCAGGCAGATTTAGGAGCGTCTCATTTCCAACAGTTTACTGAAGGGGCTTCACATGCAAGCCATAGCCGACTTCTGAAAAAAAACTCGCGTTTTGAAAAGAAAAAATTTTGGAAAGAGAAAATTGCTTTATAAGTTTGGACATAGCGGCCTCTCGATAGAGCTCGTTTTTTAACGAAGCAGGTCGTGCTGGGACATGCCGGAGAAGAAAGTAACAGCGTCAAACGAGACTGAATGAAAGGAAGAGGGTATGTTCATACTTCTGAGCTGGTTTCCTCGCATAGAATTTATATTAGGGTTGTGCAAAAGTTCTTTCCCACCAAATTCAATCATTTGTTGAATTCTCAATGAATTCTGCAAAACCTTAATTTTTTTATAAGAAAGGTACTCATGCTCTTTGCAACTGTATTTGAACTGTTTAATTTGTAGAAAAGAAGAAGATAGAAGCTCAAACCAAAATTACTCAAAATTTGAATTTTTCGTGTAAGGTTATAAAAAATCGGAAACTTGCAACAAAAATCGGAGCAGTCAGTATTGTAGGTTTTTTCGCAAGCTCTTTCCAACAGTGCAATGTTGCGCCGAATAAACGTCTCTGTGAAAAGTTATGATTTCCCTGAATGCCAAAATAAATCAAATTCGCTCTGTTGTATTGCTTGCTCGAAAATCATAACTTCTCATAAAGACGCTCAATTAGCGCAAACTTTGCACCGTTAGGAAGACCTGGAAAACTTACAATACTGACTGCTCCGATTTTTGCTGCAAGTTTCCGATTTTTAATGACCCTATACGAAAAATTCAAATTTTGAGTGATTTTGGTTTTCAGCTTCAATCTCCTTTATGTGTTCTCAATAGCGAACTTTTCAAGTACCCCTGCAAAGAGCATGAGTCCCTCTCTTGAGCAAAATTTAGATCTAGCAGATTCGTTGATAATTCAACAAGTTATGAATTTTTCAATTTGGTGGGAAAGAACTTTTGCACCAACCTAATATTTTGCAGCCACAGTCGGGCTGTAGCTTGCATTTGGCTCGCTTTTAATCTTTGATAGTGAAGCGCTTCCAAATTTGTTCGGACACTGCTTTAAGGATGGCGAAAAACAGTAAGCAAGAAAGTTAGTGACAATCAGACACCAGAAACTTTTTTGGAGACATTTTGTTTATTTGAAAATACTGAAGTATATCACCTATGAAGAAGACTGTTCCAGCATTCAGAACTTGTCTAACAAGGGGAGTCGCTAGGTCGAAGTAGCTATTTTAAACGTGATGTATACTTACGTATAGAGCTCAAAACGCTGTCAAATATACCTTCTATATCTGCGGAGCGTTTTCCTATAGGAACTTATGCGATTGTTTGTATTAAGTTATCTAGAAATCAATGTCCGTTTTGAATTTCAACTGCAGTAAATCATACACTTTCCAATTCTAAACAGTTTTCAAGGTATAATTTGATAGAGGAGTTTCGAGCCAAAAACTAAAAAGATTCAACTGCACGAAAAATCGAGAGAAATCATAACTCATTTCATAAGGTACGCCATTGCCGTATTTCTTCTTCTATTAGAAATCAAGAAAACGAAAATTTTCATGCTTTTGCCAAAGTGGTGCTGTGTCGTCCCCACATAAGTGATGTGTTCTACAAATTTGTAGAGGTACAAAGTGAATTTTTGGTTCTCTACTAGCTTTAGTTCTCAAGAAATATCGAATATAGCTTTCATTAGTCAGGATCAGCGAAAATTCAAATTTCTCGAGAATCAAAGCTTGGGAATAATTGTGGCAACTCGGTGGGCCCTAAGCATCTAGATTTACCCGAGACACCCGCACGCTCGCCCGCGTAATACATACGACGCAACCTAGCCTACTAACTTGCCCAGCGCGTGAAGAAGCAATATTAAATTACTTATACTTTATCCTTATGACACAAAGGAAAAAAATAAACACTAAACTAAAAAAACCAAACCTATACAAAGACTACTGACTAAAAGAAGAAAGACCCCAACACGGGACAGGATGCCCTATCCCGTCTACATAACATCTAAACATGCTAATGCTACCAAGGCTTCACCTATACAAATCCCCACGCGTCGCCGGATACCAGGCGCCACACCTCTCCGCTCACAAAATTCACAAGATCTCGAATCCCAAAAGCTGCAAAAGTAGCTCGTCCAAAACAATCCCAATTAGACTTGAACTCCAACTTAATGCAACTTTCGATCCGCTCTACCGCTAACGCAAAAGAAACACCTAAGGCGGGAGTTAATTGCCACGGAGCACAATAAAAAACATACAGAGATTATTGATCGAAAACGAAAGCGAACAGAAAGCAGACAGGCGTTGAAATGAGGCGCCGCCGCTATTCATGGCCTTTTGGCTGGCAACGTGCTCCCGGCCTCCTACTTCTAGGAGGGCTCGCATCGCGGAGCCGCGACAATAGTTGAAAGTCCACGTTTGCACTTCTACAGATTTGTAGTACACATCTACTACTTATGTGAGGACGACACAGCATCACTTTGGCAGAAGCATGAAGATTTTCATTTTCTTGACTTTCAACAGAGAAAAAGTACGGCAACGGCGTACATACAGAGTGTCCCAAAAAGATGTGCACACTGCTTGATCGTTAATAACTCTCTTGCTTTCATGTCTTTTGCCGAGTTTCAGGTACCATTCTTTAGAGCGAGGATAAACTTGGATTTACAGTATGGAGCGAATCACCAATCACTCTTCGTTACTGTAGGATCACGGTATAAACGCTCAGCATACAGCGTCACTGTGGAATAAGTCTTTTGATAACATAATTTCAAAAAATCTAAAAAATTGTGTAGCAAGGTTTTCAGGCGTGTTGGTTTCACTGCATAACTTTCCACCAGTTTTTCGAGCTTTCTTGATGGCGTATTCACATTTCGACAAACACTGGAAAATCAGTTGTTACTTTAAATCTGAAATAACTCATGACAAAAACAGTGTACTGACATGCAATCTTTATATTTAGAAGCATCAGCAGCTTCTTCTGATCCAGTCTAAAAGTTTCTGCCTTGTTTGGCTTTCTTTTTGAGGTAAGTACCGCTTTTAATAGCTTGGAACCCTCCCCGAAATTATTACCGTAATCTTCCAGCAATGAAGTGCTGCTGATAAGTCGCTCCATGCTGCAAATCTAAACTGAACCTCGCTCTAAAAAATGGTACCTCAAGCTCGGCAAAAGACATGAAAGCAAGAGAGTTATTGACAATTAAACAGTGTGCAACATCTTTTGGGACACCCTGTATATGTCTTATGTGGATAGTGTTTACGTGAGCAAGTTAGAATTTTTGTAGGATTTTTATGAACTGGGTTATGATTTTTCTCGATTTTTTGGGCAGTTGAGTCCTACAAGTTTATGGCTCAAAACTCGAGGTGGATCAGAGCTGTTGTTGAACCAAAATAGCTATCTTGTAGAGCTTGCTTTGTTCTTAGAAGCTATTTAGGAATGTGTGTATGACTTTATGCGATTAAAGATGAAATCGGACATTAATTTCCGGACGATCTAATATTTAATATGTGGTTTGGAAGGAAAATGACAACCTACGGTTTACAACATTTGTTGGACAACAGTTGAAAACGTTCAGATATCAGAGATTAGACTTACAACACTTGACAGAAGCTTTGCTTGACCCTCGTTAATTTTACTTGAAGGGAAGTTCATTTAGTCAGTTTGGCGATTTGGAAGGAGATCTAAACCAGTGGATAGAGCTTGAAACGCTGATCTCAAATATACCTTCTATATCTGGGATGCATTGTTCTAGAAATTTATGAGTTTTTCTAAAGCCAAATTTTTGTGCATTTGTAGTCGTACAATCAAGATAATCTCTATACAAAAGTGTGCAAGCTCAAGCAAACCACTTAGCAAGCACTATAGGTCTAACTCAAGTTCATCCGAACGTTTTTGAGTGTTTTCCGACAATGTTGTTCATCCACAGTTCGCCGTTTCCTTCCTAGAACACATCCATTATACATCAAAAAGGCCCATAACCTCTATCTAAAAAAACGCGTGCAGATATTGAAGATATATTTGAGAACATCGTTTTACGTTCTATCCATTGGTAGTTTCCAAAAAGTTTCCGAGTTTTTCTAGATGGAGGTTTTGGGGCTTTTTTGTATACATAATGGAAGTGTGATCTGGGAATGAAATGACAAACTGTGGATGAACAACATGTCCTAAAACACTCGAAAGCGTACGGATGAAGTTGAATTAGACCTACAATGTCTACTATGTGGTTTGCTTAAGCTTGCATACTTTTGTATAAAGATTATCTTGATTTTGCGACTTGAAATGCACGAAATTTTGATTTTAGAAAAACTCGTAACTTTTTTAGAACGATGCAATGCATAGAATATCTGAGATCAGCTTTTTGAGCTCTATCCATTGGTATGGATCTCCTTCCGAATCGCCACTTCGACTACATGAACTTTCCTTGTTAGGACTCAAGATAGACGAAAGATTGACACAAGAAAAGCTCTTCATGACTTTTTTAACAAAAGCACATTGCGGATATGGAAGGTATAACTAACATCAGCGTTCAAAGCTCTATCCATGGATACACATCATCTTCCGAATCGCCGTTTCGACTGAACCAACTTCTCTTGTAAGAGTCTATCGAAAGTGTTGTAGTCGAAGTGCATGCTTTCTGGAAATAACCACAAATACCGCTGTTGTTTGACCTGCAATTTCGAAAATCATACTTTCAACCTAATCATTACAACTTTTTGAAGCTTTGTATGCTTGAGTATACTCCAGTCAAGTCTTTCCAAAGTCAAGTCTTTTCAGATTTTATTACCTATCACGCTGATGGTTCTCATGTATTCGCTCCATTCAGAGACTACAGATAAGAGTATTCCATTTTACACGAGAGTTATAGGGAGTTAGTTTCACTTACTGAAAAAAAAACGAGCAAAAAACCTCTCACACTCACAGTCCCCGATCTTTCACTCAAAATGTTTGAAAACGGCCGCTTTTTGATATTTGACAGCGATAATAATACAACAAAACAAGCATTTTTGGAGGAGTTAGTGAGAAGAAAGTACCCTCGTTTGGAGGTAAGTAATCGCTGTTTTTTGAAAAGCCTTAATAGCACACATTACTAAGTGATAAGTACTAATATCAGTGATAAGGCAATAAGTCAGGCGAGTGCAAACTCCTAGCTTGTGATTTTTAACAGTCTTCACTGAATGCTGATGAATGTTACTGAATGTTTCATTGTCATTTGGCGTAGTTAAAGTAAAGGCAGAAAAAACTAACTGTAACGAATATTGCAACTCTTTATCAATTAATGCAGGACGATGAAAATTTTTTGCATTCATGCTTTCCATGAAAAGTTTCTAGCACGAACGTCAACTTTTTTAGAGTGTCAGAAAAGCGAAACGGTAGAGCGATTTACTGAGCGCAAATCATTTCGTTGATCAGCTAACTTTTGGTGCATTTCAATACATTCTTAGTATATTGAGCTTGCATGTTTTGAACGCTTACTTTACTTATTGAGTGTGAGGCTCAATCTGCTAGAATGGCCGAATTCTAATTGTAATCTTTGGAATGTTTTACAAGAAGTTGGTGTAAATGAACAACGCTTAAGAGTGATTTAAAGAATTACTCATTTTATTGAGAAATTAATAGAAATTATTTTATATAAACTAATCCTATTGACGATTGATACAGATTATGAAACAACACGTTTTTGACAAGGAGGATATCTTGGCAAAATGGCCTAAAAATTATCCATGGGTAGTTGGTGGTGTCTTGTTGAATACCAGAAAAGAAGTTATCAATGTTAGTGCATGAAAAACGAACATTCGAAGCTCTCAAACTGCAGTAATTGTACTCCTTCAGAGTTCGAGTGAATATGTTTGGCTGCTCTCGTCTTATTTTTACGGATCCGAAGATTTCTTTTTTCCCTTTATTGGTCAAATCGAGTCCGCAGGTTTGATATTATGCAATTGTTAGGCAGTTATACCAGTGGCCCCCCCCCCCCTTCGCGGAGGTCTGGCTTATCCGTATGCTTTTTTCTCGTGTTCACATTGTGTTGAACTCGAAACTAGAGCGATGCTGAATATCACAAATGAATCGTAAAGAACTGTTATTTCTTGAAACATTTCCATGTAAGATTGGTAAGTCTGAGAAAATTACGTTTACTTTGCTTGATAGTCGTCATAAGGATAATAATCAAAACCTTGCCAGCTTAAATATACATGCTATCACCATTTTTGCTGCTTTCGCAGAAGAGCAAAATTTTTGAGCACTCTTTGGGCTAGAAGCATAGAGCCGCGAAATTTTCGAAAGTTACTTAAATGTGTAAAAATGTGCAGAGGACTTGTAATTACTGTTAAATAATGAAAAATTTTTTAAAAATTTTTGAAAATTTAAATTAGCTTTCTAAAAAAAATTTTTTCAGGGGCGCGTGGCTAAGGGTCGCGCCCCCCTTGAGCCGAAGTTCTGGGTACGCCACTGCTATGAGGTATCTGGTTCGGCTGCTAAGTCAGGCTTTTGCGTCTGCCAAGAAATTATGATCTTTATGACAAACCTGTTTGTGTAGCAAAGAATTGTTTTCCTGAATGTGAAAAAGGATAACAGAAGCGATATTTAACGAATGTGCAAGGGAACTGCACCATATCGTATGAGCTTGTACGATACTTAAACTGGAGGTACACATCCGAGAAGGAGGAAGTTGCGAAGGGACGCAGCGAATCTGCCTGATATCTGTACTCTTTTCTGTCGATGTAAATTATGAAGGTAGTTTATATCTTGACCAGTGCTTCACCTCTGCTTCGCAGAGGTTCGCACTGGCCATCATGAACCGTGGTAAACTCACTCTCTGAAAGCTTGTCTCTCAAATCATTGTTCAACTGACTGCAACGCGAGAGCCGTACTTAAAAATGAACCATACTCTCTATGTGAACCTCACATGATGTTTAGTGCACCGTAAATCATTCCTCACTGTAATTTCGTAACAGACAGTCTTACATACCGACAAATTAGCGGCTTATTATAAGTTATCATACCTAGGCATAACGGATGCTAGGAAAATGCCGTATATTTTTTTCACTGGTTCGTGCAATCCCGTAAAAATCTCTTTGGGATCACCTCTCATTTTCAAAGTTATTTGTCTGAGTATTAATTCTAAGAAAACAGTGTATGACTTCGAATACAATTGTCTTATTTCTGAAATCTCAGGATCACACAGAACAATGAAATTTTCAGCTTGTGTACAACATCCTAGCATTCGTTATGCTTAAGTATTCGGGTAACAAGAACTTCATAAGGCAGAGAGAAAAGGACAAAGGTCTTTGGAACAGCGAGATGCACGAATGCTTTCACAGATCCTCTCTTCTCCTCCAGCGAAAATGTCCAAACGTGCAAAAGCCTTAGCATAAAAACGTAGCAGTATTAAATGTTCGCGATGATTAAAGCAGATTCTGCCCTCCTCCCTTTTTTGCTCGCAATCCTCTACGAAATCAGTTTGAGACAGTACTGGCCATATTGCTTGTTATTATTTTATTTGCCTCATTCTTTGAAGCACTTCCCATTAATTGTGTAAAAATACGCAGTTACGTTTTGCAAAACATCACGACATCAACATCAAGACATCGCCTGAGTAACTCTTTGGTAAAACGCAAAGGTTTTAAGTTCAAATGTGTTTGCTCCATAAGGCATTCAAACAGTTCTCATGCACTTGTATTTCAATTCTCTTCTAACTTGCGCTATTACTAGTTACTTCCGTCAGAGTTTCAAGGGGATTGAAGACCTGTGGAATCCTGCACACTTCTTTCGAGAAATTCCTTCGCTAATGTTGAATGCAGTCGCGATGTGTGCCGAAGGGAATGTAACGACTTTTTCTGATACAATTCATAAAATTTTTAGAAAAATCAAGCATATTTTTCTGGTCCTCTCACAATCAAACTGGACGCAAAGAAGAAGCTTCCCTTCTGGTTGTGATAAGACTATCGCTGTCACCTCCATAATCTTCAGAGCTTTTCAGTCGCTTTTTTTCAAATTGAGTAAGCTTCAACAGCCGGCAGTTCTAAGATGTATTTACTATTAAAAATTTGATGAGTGAATATAACAAAGCAATGTTGATACTATTGCATAGCAAAAAAAAAGCTGCGCCGTTGTGACCTCAAAAATTCAGTTAAACCTCTTGGTAGGTCCAAAACAAATTGTCACAAAAGCAAACACTGTTTCATCCTCAAAGTGTGGTCGTTTTATCTCTTTTTCCATTGTTTTTTTGTCAATCTGTAGGTCTAATCTTTATAGCAGCATTGAAATCAAATTTATAGTGCAAAACAATCTACCGATCTCTTTCATTACTCTACGGTTACTGGAACTCCAGCATGCAACCATCGTGATCGTTGCCATTCAGACAAGTACATCCTGCTCTTACAATCCCAAACAACTGAGCTGTTTGCACGGTCACTTTTGAGAGCATTAGAAAAACACATCAGGTCATTAATGGTGTGGTGTAAGATGTGCGAAACAGTGCAAACCTCAAATTCAGAATCACCGATTTTGATAAGTCTATTGTAATCTATTGTAAAATCTTGAGGTCGTTTGTTTTGCTTTGCGCAAAAAAGACCATTGATTACTTGAAGCTTCTGTCTTAGTCCTACAGTAATAAAGAAGTAATTTTGTTCAATTTGCAAATTCAGTTCAGAGCCAACTCTACAGAATAATACATTAAGAGCGGCAGAGCAGGTTGTACCAATTAAACGATGCAAGTCTTGACGCTAATATCGAGCACATAATGTGCATAAAAGTTCGGAACATTCTAACATCTTGCTCCGACGTTTTTCACAATTATGAAAAAAGTTTGGAAGGTGGTTCGGAGGGAGTTGTAGCAATAATCTGTTGTTCTCAAAAGTTCTGAAATAAGCTAGCCACCGCCGCTCTAATTGATCTAAAAATGTTGCCTACACAACAATATTTGTTGAAGTTTTTGCTTTACCTTACTCATACAATCAAGGTGTGACATAAATGAAACATCAATATACAATGCCAATTAGTCAAGATGAATGAAATCCCTTACTTAGTGAAGTTTTTGAGTTTTTGCTTCTTCCTTAACGAGGATTTTCGCAGGTTCTAATATGTGTCTGATAGCCAAGGAATTGCTCAACGCACGGAAACTAAGACCTCGGAAAAAGTTGACTTTGAAAGAAGTTATGACATCATGAACACAAAAATTCAAATAGGACAGAATTTAAGCAACAACCTAATACAATGCCAGCTAATCGAAATGAATAAGAAATTCCTTACTTCACCGTAATCAGCGATTTTTTGAAAGATAACTTATAATAACGGGCTAAGGATGTTTACGTGACTTTGTGTGTGTGTGTGTGTGAGTGTGTCTGTTACGAAATTCGTAGAGCGTGTTCCAGCCAACCTCCTGGGCTCAAACTTTGCACAGCGCATGCCACCCGCATGAAAGTCCAACATGCAAAAGCACGAGCAGATTCGTTGAGTGCATCCCTCAGAAACTGCGCGTCAAACGGATTCACTTTGCATTTGGGCCGCAAAAATGGGTCCGTAATTCCACTTTTTGCAGAGTCATGGATGTTTATGCCAAGTAAATGTGCAAGCCAAGAACTTAGGCCCGAAAAAGTGACCAAAAGCCCATTGCTTTACAAAAACGGCGCCAAAATGTATTGGTTGCATAAATGGTCAATTTGCCAAGGTATCAGAGCATTTGACAAGATTTTTGCACAAGATGTAGCTCACGGCGACTGCTGTTCTTATTGCAACTGTCAGGACCATTGGAAAATCAAAAACCTATGTGCGTTTTCTCTCCTTCAAAAACTCTCATTCACGCGAAATCACCGATTCCACATAAAAAAGCTTTCGAAATGAGTAGTTGTTTACATTTGGTTCATGATAGCCGGCAGTGCTCGGTGAGTTCCAATGCCATCATTATGCAAGAATGAGTAGGGCCTAGAAAGCAGAGCCAGTGCGAGCCTCTGCGAAGCAGAGGTGACGCACTGGTTCTTTAAATAGTGCTTCATTTGAAAATTCTTCTCATACAGTACGTGAGGGCCGTCTACCTGCCATCTGTTAGAATAAAGATGAGCACGGTGAATCCAGTTTGGCATGTTTTCGTGTGCTCATTTTCTATGATGTGCGAACATTCGAAATGAAACAAAGTGTGATATTTCAATAATTCAAGGCTGTTTTTAGAACTTTGTCCATTAACGTACGGCTATTTTGACTTTCTCTAGCTTCACCCTTCTCTACAAAGCATGAATGATTATTAAAATTTATCCTTGTGACCTAACATTATAGAAATTGGGTATATAGAGAAGGGGGCAGACAGATATACAGGCATAATATAAGAGGTAGATGAGAATAGTGAATAAGGAGATTATATTTGGAGGTAGATGATATTAGGGTAATGAAAAAGTTACATGGGTTAGTAAATGAGGATATTACAATAGAAGGTAGAAGAAATCGAGAGCAATGAAGAGGTTACATGGATACGAACGATACATAAAGAATACAAAACATTGGCAGGGGGAAATGAGGGAGAGAGGAAGTGGGGAGCGATTGAATGAGGTGCAGGGTGCCAACCGAAGCTGGCGGCAGAAGTGCAAGTGTGCATACAGGAGAAACGGTTAATTTTCTTTTATACTCGCATCAACGGCGGGCTGTGCAGCTGCAACCACTAGCGCAGTGGTGGTAATTTGCGTTTTTCCTACGAAAAGCTCTTTGGCCACTTTTGAAAACGCCAAAAAGTTTAAAAGTTTATTAGGGGCACATAATGGCTACCAGTAATGAGACAAAAACATTTAATAATGTTTGTCAATTTCAATTTCGGACAATCCCAAAAATGGCGTCAAGCCGCTGCCGCTTGTCTCGCCACTTAGCCTCCCATACGAATTTTACTGTTTGTGTGACTTCGTTGTCTGAATACACCCTAATTTAGTTATGATTGTGATTAACTTTGAAATCTGTCTCGCTTCTTTCTCTGTTTGTAATCTCGCTTTCAAATCTTTTTTTCAAATCGTAGCCGCGCAAGCGATCTGAATAGACAATGGAACCTCTTTCGGTATTTCCCGCAATTAATTTTGAAAGCGTTGGACGCAAGCACTCTGACACACTAATCAAAAGTTCCTCTTCGTTTCGCAACATATACCTTCAAAATTTCATTTGGGAAAAATTGCAACCGGCATGATTTTTGCGTTTCATCAAGAGACTATTATTTATTCCAGCAATTTCTTCCGTTTTCACTAATTTTTCTCTTTCTCTTCTGGATTACCTGCTCGGCAATTACATTTCGCCTGTAGATGTATTAGAAAATTTTGGATTATTCCAACATTTTTGTAATTTTCAAGAACCTTTTAGCTTAGCAGTAAAAAAGCGTCAACAAATCAATTCTCAACACGAAATTGGTTATCTCTTGGCAATTGACTTTGCTACATAAAGCGAATAGATCAAAAATGTGAACCTTTGATAATCAATTTGTATTTCTTGAGGGGACGAGTGGCGGAGCAGTGTGAGGCGCCGCGATTACCACGCAAACCCAGATTTGACCCCGCCTTTGGGTAATCTATCTTCCGGGGGCGGTAAATGATATCAGAATAATCTGGGAAAATAAAGGCACTAATTTGACAATCAGAAAGGCTCGTACGCATTCATTACTCTCTTGGACTATGAATTAGATTTTGGAGCTTCCCCGCAAAGGGTGGGGTGTTGAAGACGCCAAATCCTTTATCTCTTTATATGAACAAAGCAGAAAATGTGTGTTCTGTGTGTCTGTGCACATTTCCCATGTCATGTAGAATGAGCGGTGAAGCTCTTTTTTATGTGCTTCTCTTTATCAAGATATGGTAAGTACAGTAGAAAGAGACCTAAGACGAGTCGGAATCAAAAAGTCAAATTTCGCTACATAAGTGATCAAGCACTATGGACTGCTCAAGAACGGTGCAAATCGGGATGCCAGCTCGTCCTTCATATATTCTATATTGCTAAAGTCGAATATCTGAAAAAAATTCTGAATCCTTATCTAGATTGGCTTCACAGTATACAGGGTGTCCCAAAAGATGTGCACACTGTTTGATCGTTAATAACTCTCCTTCTTTCATGTCTTTTGCCGAGCTTGGGGCGTCATTTTGTAAATCGAAGTTCAGCTTAGATTTGCAGTGTGGAGCGAATGATCGATTGCTCTTTATTACCTTAAGACTAGGATAGAAACGAGGAGGATTTTAAGCCATTCAAAGCGGTTTTTTGCCAGTTTTTGTCTCAAAGGAAATCAAACAAGCCAAAAACTCTTGCTTGTACTGGATTAGTTGAAGTCATTGACTCTAAATGTGATATTTTCACTTCAGTATTGTGCTTTTTTCATAAGTTATTTTAAATGTAGGGCAACAACTGTTATACCTGTGTTTGTCAGAAATGTGAATATGCCATCGAAAAAGCTCGAAAACTCACGAACTTCATGTAGTGAAATCAGCACGCTTGAAAACCTTGCCGTACAATTTCAAGATTTTTTGCACTTATCTCGTCAAAAAGCCTACATAGTGAATGCTGAAAGTTCATACCGTATTCCTACAGCAATGAAGAGTGATTAACGATTCTCTCCATACCACAAATATAAGTTGAATCTCGCTCTAGAGAACGTTACGTCAAGCTTGGTAAAAGACATGAAAGAAAGAGAGTTATCAACGATTAAAAAAAAGTGTGCAGTTTGGGACACTCTGTACATCAGACCATTTTATAAAGACGCCTCATCAACATGGGAAAAAATTTCTTTGACTCGACTTTGATCGTAGATGTTATGACCGCTTTCGGGACCACATGCTTACATTAGAATATACAATTTCTGGCAATAATAACTTTTGCTTATCTGATTACGACTCTCTGAATACTTTACGTACTGCGCGGGAGAAACGGAACGGACTAGCATATGCGATTTTAATTCACGTCTGAACCTGATGAGAACAATGCTTGTATGAGTAGGAATTTTCGACGTGAAAGCTCATCGTCCAATATTTACGACGGTTCTGCTTTGAGAAGTCAACATGATAAACCATTTTCTGAACAGGGCAACAGGAAAGAAACGTTTAGCGCAAAAGTATGTAAACCTCTAAGACCTTGAACATTTACGTCAGTCTATCATCTCCAAAAAGTCCTGCAAACTTATTATTTGATCAACTTCTAATAGACATATGCAAACATGCTTCCATACATCTTTGCAACAATCCATCAAGCATTCATTGAATACTCGAGAGCTGAACGAGGTACAAGTGCGCGAGTGTATGTCGAACCTTCTTACAAGGAGGTCCGAAGTCGGAGTGACTTTTTTAAATGAGTTTTACACTACTTTGAAGAGCATAAAACGCTAATTCTAAATCTGATTTCATTGTCTGCCTAGCGCCTCTGCATGCCGAGTTATAAATAGTTAAAACTCAAATTTTACACGGTCTTTTTAGCGCTCAACTAGAGCAGTGTTAAGTATGGGGGTTTGGAACAGAACTTATTGCTCAAATGGAATGCTGTGGTATTCAAAATTGGAACATTTGAGCAACTCTGGCAAATTTTGTGCTAAGTATGCATTTGATGTTACAACTCAAAAAACGCTTACAAGTTTGAAGCCGTTCTACGGATAACGAAGACAGATTGTAATCAGCGTTCAATGCTTTTTATAGTGGCATCAATTTCATGTAAAAAGGCCGTTTCGACCAGATGGACCTCCCTTGTTAGGTTGTAGTATACGAATACAAATTTGGAAGATGTTAAAATGGTGAGGAAGCTTGTATTCCATCATCTTTCTCCTTTTTTTGTTTCTGAGCGAAAAACTCAAAGCAGTTGCGTACAGAAAGCGTTTCACACCAGTCGAATAGATGTTGACCATTTGTAAGGTGATCACGCTTTCTTATGATAAATATCCGACTTTCAATGCTCAAATGGCCACATATGTCGGTTTAACCTTAGCGTGGGTCTCTGCATCTCTGCATGGGTGATTTCGTATGATGTCTTGGTGATGCTTCATGACGTTTTTGTACTCGCCTAGACAAAAGCCACAGCGTTCTTTTAGCATCTTAACAGTTGCTCAGCATATTGAAAGTGCTTGTTTCATCAAAAAATGAACGTAAGAGCTAATTTTTTATATTCGGTTAAACGTTTTTATTCAGTAAACCCTCGCCTATTACCCATGTATGCCATTTTCAATCGAAACTTTGTTTAGGTCAGATTGAACTCCACGCTGCCAAGAAAGTAATCCAAAAAGAAGATACACTACTCGCCGCCGCATTTACTCCTATGATGTATCTCCTAGCTGTGTTAATTCTTGAAACATCGTTTGTCACACCGTTGATCGAAGAAAGATTATGCGGCTTTCGACATCAGGTAAATGTTTGAACAATTAAGGGTCGGGCATATCATGACTTATAATAACGAGCTAAGGTTTACGTCTCTTTGTGTGTGTGTTTGTGTGTGTGTGTATATGTATGTATGTATGTATGTATGTATGTATGTATGTATGTATGTGTGTGTGTGTGTGTGTGGTGTGTGTGTATGCATGTATGTGTGTGTGTGTCTGTCCGTTACGAAATTCGTAGGGTATGTTCCAGCCAACCTCCTGAGCCCAAATTTTGCACAGCTCATGCTACTAACATGCAAGTCCACTGTCAAAAGCACGAGAGGATCCATTGTGTGAATCCCACAAAAAATGCGCGTTAGTCGGGTCCACTTGGACTTTGGGCAGTAAAATTGAGCTTGTAGCACAACTTTTTGCAAGGTCACGGATATGTTTGACAAGCTAAAGTGCAAACGATGGACTTTAGCTTGAAAAATTGAACTAAAGTTAATTACTTTGCGAAAGGATCAAAAAGAATTGGTTGCATAAGTGTTCATTTGGCCAAGATTTTACCCGATCATTTGAAAAGATTTTTGCACAGAGTTGTAGCCCACGGTGATATTGTATATTATGGAAAATAACAAGTCAAGAAAACTGCAAACATCGATTTAAGTTGGCATTTGTTTTTTTTTGGGGAGAAGTTTCATTAACGCGAAATTACCGATCTCATATGGAAAAGCTTTTAGAATGAATAGCTGTTTACAAAAAATCCGCATAGCGCGGTGAGTTTCAATGTCACTATTGTGCCGGAATGAGTAAGGCGTACAGATGGTAGGAAAAGTGCGAATCTCTGCGAAGCAGAGGTGACGCACGGTGTATTAATAGGCAAGTATGCATTTCTATTCTTGGAAACATTCCGCCTTGAGCAATAAACTTGAAAATTCTTCTTCAACGAGACATTAAACTTTAAAAGAAAGACTTTGCAATGGTAGGTAAATCTTTTGCTAAACTGTACACAAAGATAATTGTCGTGCACATGCACACTCAAGTCTCGGTCTTCTTTTTACGGTAATATCCCAACTATCGATCCATAGAGATTCACTGTCGGCGTAATTCTGCTTTAGTTCCTTTGAGATTTGTCGCCAATCGCGTCCCTCTTGATGTTAATCTAAAGCACAAACAAATCGCTCGCACCCCTTTATTTATTTTGGCATAATTGAGACTTTTCTACTCAGATAAAACTTAAACATTTTTTAAAAGTAACTATTAGGTCGGTCCGAAAGTTCGCTTTGTTTTTCAGACCCACGCACAAACCAATTAGTATACTTACTTACTTAGATACTTAGATATTTAGATGGCCCGGCCTCACGTGACGTGCGGGCCCCAGCTCAGAAGTTTCCATTTCTCCCTGTCCCTCGCTTCTGACATCCACGATCTTCTTGGCTCGTCGGTGGCTGCGTCCACGAGTTCCAGGTGCAAAAATCGTATCCAGCTGATTTCTCAGCTGGTCCATCCGTTCCACGAACACGTCTTCCCATCTCGTTGGTGGTCTTCCTCGGGGACGTTTTGCTTCGCGAGGGATCCACTCCGATGTTCTTATGTCCATCTGTCGTCTGTTCTTCTCATGATGTGACCGGCCCATCAATGCTTCGCTTTCGCAACGTAATCCGCTGGGTCACGAAGACGGGACATTCTCCTCATATCCGTACTGCGAAGTCCGACGAGATGTTGTTTGTGTCGGGTCATCTTCAGAAGATTACGCTCTAGCGCTCTGTGGGTGGTCCTTAAAGCTTTCGAAGTGGCGACGGTGTTAGCCCAAGTCTCAGCTGCGTAACAGAGCGCCGGGAGAACGGTTGAGTCGAACAGGTGGGCACGAAGCTCAGGGTCCGTCAGTTGGTCGGTGGCTTCTTTCGGAGGCCCAAAGGCGGCCCAGGCTGCTCTTCTTCTCCTGTTAAGTTCTTTCCTCAAGTCGTTCTCCATGTTCATCGAACGTCCGAGATACACGTGAGAAGACGTCTCCGTAATAGGGGTGCCTTCCTATTCCATTTCTGCATCTTCACAAAGGGCGTTCTTCATGAACTGAGTCTTCTTCCGATTGATTCGCAATCCGATCTTCTTCCTTACTTCGTTCAGTTCCTTCAGCATCGTCTCTGCTTCGGTGATACTGCTCGAGAAGGGAACGATGTCGTCCGCAAAACGAAGGTTGGACAGGAATCTCCCATCAACTCGTATGCCTCTCTCGTCCCAGTCCAGTGACTTCATCCCACTGCAAGGCCGCGATAAACAGCTTCGGCGAAATAGTGTCGCCTTGTCGAACCCTTCTCAATTGGAATGGTCAGGGGGCGATGGAATAGCTGCATCGTCGTTGTACAGTCCTTGTAACAGCCGGCTAACGTCCTCACGTAAGCTGGGTCCACTCCTTGATCGACTAGCGCAGACAGGATGGCGTTGGTTTCGACGCTGTCGAAGGCTTTCTCGTAGTCGACAAAGGTTAGGACGAGAGGCAGTCGGTATTCCCGGCAGACTTCTATGACCCTCGAAACAGTCTGGATGTGGTCCATGCAGCTGAATCCTTTGCGAAATCCAGCTTGTTCTTGGGGTTGGGCTTCATCCAGTGTCCTAGATGTGCGAGCGAGGATAGTCTTCGTGAAAAGCTTGTACAGCACACTCAGCAGGCATATTGGACGGTAGTTCCGAAGATCTTCCCGTTCACCCTTCTTGAAAAGAAGGACGGTTCTTGATGTTTTTCACTGGTCGGGAATCCTTTCCTTCTGAAGGTAAGTTGTTAGGTGCGACGCGAGGATCTCGATGTAGACGTTGTCCTTCAGCTCGCAGAAATTTGACGGAAGGATGGTCTGGTCCTGGAGCCGTGGACGTCTTCATGGTCTGAATCGCTGTGCGCACTTCAGCAGGTAGAATTCGTGGTGGTACTTCTCCAGTGGGAACAACGGGCATCGGCACGGGTGTTGATGAGCGGAAGAGGTTGGTATAGAAGTTCTTCGCGATAGATTCCATCTTGTATCGGGAAGAAGTCGGAGTCCCGTCTTCGTTCGATAGTGCAGCCAGCGGTACGTGATATTCACAGAGGTCCCTTCGGCACTTTTTGGGACTTCGTCTTCCTTCGGCTGCTTCCAGTATCTTGGCTTACCTGTACTTCCTAAGATCCTCCTGCAAAGCTGTTCTGCAACTGGCGTTGGCTATCAGTCGCTCGAGATGGGTTGCATTCGGATTCTGCCTCAGAAATCTTCTTCTTTCAAGCATTTCCTTGGTGGTCTTTGAAACGCGTTGAACATTCTTCTCGGAAGTCACTGAGCGCACACTCCGCAGGCTCGCAATCCTTTCAGAAGCCGGTCGTAGTCGTACGTTGGGTCCTCCTCGATGGGCCAGTCACAACTTGATATGAGCTCCTCCAGCCTGTTACCGTCATAAACGACATTCTTCCTTCTTGCGGCATTGTGGCAGATCTTCTTTTCCAGCCTTTGACTGAATCGTATCTTCGCTAAAAGGAGGCGATGATCGGAGCCACTGCAGAAGAATGGAACTACTGAGATATCGAGCAAGCTCCACCTTCGGTTGGTGAGAATGTGGTCGATCTCCGCGTGGGTCGTTCCGTTGGGCGATTCCCATGTCCACCGGCGATGTTCTTTCTTCATAAAGATGGAATTTCCATGGAGAAGTCGTGCGGCGGAGAGAAGCCCAACAAGACGGTTGCCGTTTTCGTTCCGGAGCCCATATCCAAACTTCCCGATCCTATATTCCTTTTCCAGTGGCACCCCGATTTTCGCGTTGAAGTCGCCCACAACAAACTTATAAAAGGAGTTCTCGTTGCGGACGACCTCCTCCACATCTTCGTAGAAAGCTTCTAGTTCTTATTCGTCAGCTGCTGATGTTGGAGAATAGCAGTTGATGATGCTGATGGTCTTCTGATGTGCAGGTTGTAGTTGTAGGATGCCTAGTCGAGGTGATAGGATCTCGTGCGAATCGACAAGATGGACGATAGATGGGTGGACGACAAAGCCGACGCCTCCCACGTTTCGTGATGGTTCTTTTCACCACGAATAATGAGGGTCCCATCACTCATCTGTTGCACGTCCTTCTTCCTGGACTTCGTTTCCTGCAAAGCGATGATGTGGTAGTTGATGTGCTCTGCAGCGTCGAGAAGAGCGTGGAGGTCGGCGTTTGTGGAGACTGTCCTGGCGTTGTAGGTGCAGAGCATGAGGCAATCTCCATGGCTGTCGTCCGGGCAGACGTGTCGTTTTTGTCCATTCCGAAAGGCGCCCTGAGTACCCTGACATCGTTCTTGCTACCACCCGGCGCCGTAGGCGGGATCCGATGTACAGGGTTTTTTCTAAATCTTCTTGCTGTCTGAGTAATAACATTTGTTCCCCTACAAGAGGTGGCTTACTAGGCCTACTCTTGATTTCCACGGGGCGATCGCTGACCCCGGGCTTGGAGCGGGGAGGGACCGCCTAGCGACCAGAAGAAGCCAGACGGCGGAGGATCTGGCGTGGCCAGTTCTTAGCTAGGCATCCGGCCGAAACCGGAAACGTCGAACCAGAGTATACACTCGGCTGTGCATCGCAGTTCGACACCCAGTGTCACCCCCACGCCACGATGAGGCGACCGACCATTGTGGGGGACCAATTAGAATAAAGATAGACAAACGCTGTAAGCAATATCCGATGCAGAATTTCTTCCTCTTTGTTATGTTTTGTATATGTTCAGATTCACTCAACGTCCGCTCAACAATCGGCGAAAGAATAATAGGCAAGAATCTCTCTAACTCATGATTTTCACCCATCTTTAGTTTGGCTATTTTTTGAAATTTCCAATTTCAACTTTTGGACTAGTTACGACAACAGTTAAATAGAGACAAAATGCAATACAATGAACTATTTCGGCTTCATCAACTAACTCTTCAGTATTTATTGAAATAATTTTTCCAAAAGCTTTTACTTTGCAAAGTCGCGATATGACTTTAGCACTAATCTTAGCTAGTGAATGAGTGTCAGCGGTTGAAAATATCAAATTCCGAATTTTGTGGGTACAGCCGGAACAAGCCTGAAAACAAAAATTTTAATGATTTTATCCTCAAATATAAGACAAATCAGGGAGAAAAGAAGTCTGTTAAAAAGAGGAAAAAAACTGCATCAAATTAAACCTTGTTTGATAATCGTTTATAGTTCTGTGAGGATTGAGTCACCCAAAGATGAATATAACATCAAAAAAATATTTTCAAAAATTTTGAGAAGTCAACTAAAGATGGCAGAAAAATTTATAGTATTGCATTTTGTTTATTCTATCCTACTGTTATCAAAGTTAATTCGAAAGTTGAATATGTAAATTTTAGAAAATGATCAAACTGAAGATGGGTGAAAATCATGGGGTAGAGAACCTTGCCGATTATTGAGCGGACATTGAGGGAATCTGAACAAAAACATAACCATTAAAGAGAGGAAAAAAGTTTGCATGGATTATTTTGAAAGCGTTTGTCTATCTTTATTTTAAGGTTTGAGAATGGATCTGAAAAACAGCGTGCACTTTCGGACCGACCTGATAGATTTCTCAAGTCATTGCTACAAACATACGAAATTCAAACTTGTACATGCCGTAGTTTTTTCAGTTGTAATCATAGGTTTCATAAACGCTCATACCTTTCGCCTATCGAAACTTTGGTGGCACCACGCAAGTTTACTTTTGCGTTTAAAACAATGCCAAAACTGTGGAGTTGCGACAATTTTAGAAAAATCTCCCATTAAAGAAAGTTGATTTTTTAGCAACTTTCTTATCGGTGACTGATTCCACACTGCCTGATTTTAGCTAATAAATTTGCAGTTAGGTACTCTCCGGAGTAATGGCGGTCTCAATTTCCATACACAAATGTGGATCTGCATTAATACCTAATAAGGGAATGGTCAGACGGTGAACAATCAAAACAAACTGCAAATCAGTTGATGCAGCCCACAATGCTGGGTTTAAATCGGTATTTGCTGAACGCCTTTGTAGACAAAGTTATGAGCACTTTTACTGCAAAAGAACCTACGTAAAAATTACACACTATTGCCCTTTCAACTCAAATTTAGATATGGGCCATAAATAGTAGCCTAGCTGCATCATGTTTCGGTCGCATTAAGCTAAGCATGGCTCTGTACAGCCATTTGCCCTTTATACTCGTGATTGGCTATTAATCCTTTTAATGGCTTATAACTTCATCCAAAGCTTTCAGCAGATAAGGAAGACAGAATTAGAGTCAGCTTCTTATGCTGCGGGTGTGTAGTTTTTTTTTTTGGATCGACCACTTCGAATTCTGACTGCCACCTTATAAGGTCTTCTTTCCAAACGTAAACTGGGCTCAGATAGTCGGTGTGGGGATACCGTGAAACATTTGGGAAAGCACCGCGGTTACTGCGGGTACTCAATTATCCCCCGGAACCTTCCACATTGTCTTCCGGAGGTTTCCGAAAAACTGAGCCCTAACTATGCTCTGAAATTCCAATTAAAGCCCCTAAACCCCGCTCAAAGTAGCCTAAGGCCCCGGGCAGACTTTACACGATTTGATCGTCGCGACTGAATCGCGGGGAGACAATTGTTACAACATCATTCCATGCTGATCAACTTTCATTCGGTTGTGATACTTCTCCAGCCCGAAATTTTTGAATGTGAAATGAAAATGAATGGAAATGTCGGCGATTGAGTCGCGACGATCAAATCGCATGAAGTCTGACCGGGGCCTAAGACGCTGAAACTCGACTCAAATCTATTCTTTATTGAAAGAGGAAAACTTGCTGACATAATATTATTTATTCATGCGCAACAAACAGCAAGTTGATACGATACTATTTATTTAATTGATGAGGCAACAAGCACAAGTTTTGATTATGCTATAACAATCGAGCTATGTATGGTACTTGAAGCACGCGAACTAGCCTTAAAGGCAGGATTCAAGCAAAAAGTCGACTTCGAGATTATGTGCTTACCTGGGCGTATTCGCTATGCTGTCAATTCACCACTGGAGAGCGCGAAAACGGCGAAAAAAGGCTCTAACGGAGGAGGAAAATTGCAGGTGGGCGGGGCTGTTCAGAGTAACGTTACTTTCCCAGCTTCACGAGCGATCTTTTCGCTTCCGCTAACCGCACTAATGTCAACATCACCCAACTGCGAAACGCATGATATAAAATCGGAACCGAAAAGATTGCTCCTAAAGCCTGGGAGAGTGCGTCGCGGTGTGAGCGGCCCGGCCCACCTGCGATTTCCCTCCTGTGTTAGGGCCTTTCTTTGGCGTTTTCGCGCTCCCCATTGTGGTTTATCGGTTCAGCATGGCGGATAGGCCCGGATAAGCACAAAATCTCAAAGTCGACTCTTTGCTTGGACACTGCCTTCAAACTCGCTATGGTCTTTTTAAAATGGAAGCAAGTTGATATATTAGGTTGTCCCGAAAGTTTTGTCCGTTTTTTCAACCTATCATAAAAACGCAAGGAAAGAAGATAGGGAAACGTTCTAAGCACTATCCGACGCATCTTTTCCTTCCCTTTCTAACTGTCATGCTTCCATGCCAATTAATCTTTTGTTCACTGAGGTAAACGCCGAAATTTCGAACCCATAGTTTTTACTATGTCCAAGTTTGGCAATTTTCCACATTCTTTATTTTTAACTTTCGGAAAAGCTTTGGCAACAGTTAGATAGAGCAAACAAAGGGCAATATAATGCAATTTTGCGGCATCTATAGCCAGCCTTGAAAATTTTTTAGAATTATTTTTTCTGATGCTATCAAATTCCACTTTTGGTGGTAACAAAAGCCAGAGATCATGAAACGGCGCACAGCTAAGGTGTTATTCGATGCAGCTTCTCCTCCTCTTTCCAGTGAGTATATTTTCTCTCCAATTTGCGTAGTCTCTGGCGATAAAATTTCCATAATTCTTGAATTTGACCCCACCCCAGCGTGTACACGTAAAATGCAAAATCTTATATTTCGAGGCAGTAAACGCTCATTTGCTTCGTAAAAATACTGAATAATCGTAATCGGTTTTTGACAGCTTCAAAATCCAATGATTTGTAAGTATTCGAGGCGTTTCTGTATTTTAAAACTTCGCAAAAGTGAAGACTTTTGTAAAATTATCTTTAAAAATATTGAAAAGCCAGCTAGATATGCCAAATAATTGCATTGCATTGCCCTTTGCTTACTCTATCTAAGGGCTATCAAAGGTCTTCCAAAAGTTGAAAATGAAGGTTGTGAAAAATTGTTAAACTTGGGCATAGTAAAAACCATGGGTTCGAAATTTCGGCGTTTATCTCAGTAAGCAAAAGAGTAATCGGCATGTGGGCTTGACAATTAGAAAGACGAGGAAAAGATGCGTCGGGATTACGAAGAAGGATGATGTAAGGGTTGAAGTTGTAGGATATACTCGTTAATCTAATTAATGGCTGCGAATAATGCGCTCCATGCCGCGTTGCAGTTCTTGTTTCTTGAAAACGAATCACGCTCACCTTATGATGATGACTATCTCGTTTAATCGTTCCGGAATATCAATAATCCTCTATCCCATGTCCAACAAATTTGCACATAATATTGGGCATAATATTGGGTTGTACGTAACAACTTGTGATGTAAGCATGGCCCTCATAGGGGCGGAGTGCGACCGCTGCGACCACTCACACTGAGGAAATTACTAAGCGAAACATGAGAGGCAAAGGCATCATAAAAGACAAAGACATTGATGATGACACTGAACAAATGGACAAATAGGAATAAACCTCGTTTGTTGTGAAACCACAGTATGCTTTCAAGTAGTGTAAACCATTCCTTGCCGATTTTTTTAACAGACGGACAGAGATGAGTAAGCCGTCATTATAAAGCATTGATTTATGGAGAAAGCAAAACTTTCAAACGATATTAAGTGTTATTAGTTTAAAGAAAGGTTTTAGCAAATGTTAGCCGGTTTATCGCCGCTCGTGTATTGGACAGCAACCTTTTTTTGGGACGTTTGTTTGACAGGATTAGTCTCAGCTATAATGGTAACATTTACAAAGATTATTCTACAATCATCTTGGTGGATGTTTTTGTAAGTGCTTCATAATCCTTTTTGCCCTGCTATTTTTTTTGCTAACGCTTCCTTATTTATATTGAGAATTTGACAAATTTTTGCTCATCCGTCAATCTCGGTGGGTTGCATTAGCAGCAGGAGATCATCATGTGAGCCCTTGAGCTTGCGCCAGCTGTCTCTCTCTCTGCTTTTCAAGTTACAGACCTTTTTGGTTTCGACAGACTGTATTGTATGATTCGTTAGATCTTGAATGGGAAACAGATTGTTTTCTAGAACTGTTGAAGCAAGAAAGCACTGGCATTTTGCTCTATGATAAGTGGAAGCACTCAATTTTGAATATTTCAAATTGGGACTAAGAATGCGATTCTGTAAAATCCAGTTTCCGCTGCGCAGGGCTCGGTAAGAGGTGGCTTTTGATTTAAAAAAACGAAGCACCCTCCCTTGAGATGCAAAAAAATCTACGATATCCTCTTTAAAACACGAAATTGCCTAGGTTGCTGTAGGCTGAACGCACGCGAGTGTGCCTACAGCGCGGCTGCTGAGTACTGGCACCATGATGATTTATGCGCGCGAATGCCGAGCTCGCAAGAAACACATTTGCTGGCGAGCAAAGTCGATTCTGTGCAGTGAACTATGCGTATGAAAGAGGACTGTATTATTCGATAACATGCCTAACAAAAACAATTATGTGAACAAAATAAGCAAAATGGTGTAAATAGTGTAAAAAAATTTGTTCTTGTTAAACAGCCAAATGGATCTTATAAGTAAATAGCGAGATCAAGTATTTGAGATGAAATTTTGAGGAATCAGATTTTGAAGATCTTGATGAACAAAGAGTGTGAAAACAATACAATAATTCTGTCACAATAAAACGATTTGCATATATCACTGTAGATTGTATAACAGCAAAACATATGTAAGAAAAAGCATGTGGAGAAGCTCTGGCATCTGAGTGCAAAGCGCTGGTCATGTCTTGACCATGGAACATCTTGTTATTCTCGTCCACAGCTTCCATTCTTTTCAGCTCCAGGTAATCATTGAAATGCAAAGTAACAGTTGTGAAATGCAAAAGGTACCATAAGCAAGTAATATGAAGAAAAAATAAACTCATGGCATCAGCAGCAACTGATTTGCCTCGGTCTCCCTTTTTGCGCGGTAAAATTTTGCGTCAGCCTTCGCTTTCTCCGAGGCTAAAAGATTTCAACTTTCATAGCAAAAATTCGCAAAATCACACTATGAAATTAATCTGCAACGTATTGAATGTAATGTAAACTGAGTAATTGGAATTCGATTCCCTCAGCAGAATAAATTACCTAGGTGGCTATCGTCTTCAAGTTGACTGATTTTTTTCTGTGCCACCCCTTCCGCTATCACTTGCTTGTGCATGATAGCTGCACCCTGTGCCTTCTGTTCTCTTCTGAAAAAACAGAAATCCTCGAATAAACTGGCAAAAACAAATGGGGTTTACCGCGCCTGTAAAAGGAAATCATTGCGACATAAAAAGTGTCGCCTGAAAGTGGACTTCTCGGCGTCCATTTGATCGTAGTTATGTCCTATCGCCTCTAATATTTTGGGTTTCGTTACCCGAACCGCTTGAACCAATCTTAGTGTCATTACCATCAAATCACCTTGCAGGCAGTCTTTAAGTTCTCATTAACTTGATCTAAACAGAAGAATCTACTTCACATTTTGATGACAATATTCAGCTTCTCACCAAATAAGTCGATGCAGGCTTCCTGTAATACATGACTCGAACAAAACTAATCACTTCATGATGGACCTTGCTACGAATGAAAGGTTTGTCAAAGTCAAGTGTGTAGTTTTTGATAACGTTGTACACTAAAAGGATGCGTTACAAGTGAACGCTAACAAAAAATCATCAAAAGCAACATAATCATGCTAGATCGAAGTCGGATTTGATGAAGGTGGATATGACAAAAGAGTTATAGCCTGTTTCAATGTAAATGCGCATGGTGCCAGAGCCGTACTAACACAGCTCCAGCGGACACGTGCGCCGTCACGTACTGATCGATCTGGTCAGCACGGCGCTAGCACAGTTATGGCATAGATAACTCTGAATGCAGCCAAATGGCTCTTCTTAATGCGCTGATAATAGTATGCACTGATTATTTACAAAAGAATAAACAAAAGAATTCACGACTATTTGGTACGTTATGCACTGAATAGATCTACATACAATAGTAAAGCGAGTACAAACTTTGAAAAGATTAGCGATTGTGCTCAGAAACAGAAAAGGTAAAGTAAATCGATTCAAGACGAATGATTCGGGAACGATAAAAATTACAATGAAAGACTGGTGAAATCGTAGCAGTGCAAGAGGCAGCATCTCGATTACTCTTCCGATTTTCAACAAACTATAAGGAATGGAAACAAAGGCATGTGGTATTATAAAAACTTTTAGTTATGGGCGACTCGAAGCACGCAAAGACGCGGACGTATCGGCGTCTCTCTGCGTCCTTTCGTTTCTCTTACCGTCTACTGTCTCTCCTAAGTACGAACTGTCTTAGCCGGATGCAAGACGCCCAGTCTTTGCGTGTCATGAATTGTGTATACATATAAGGATATGTACTTTTGTGAAAATAAATGAGTATAAAACGACGAAAATGAAAGGAAACTGGAGAGAAATGATAGAAGCGGTTAGCGCTTACTCACTTTTCATTCCTCGACATATCGGTATGTTCTACTAACCAACAATGAGTATCGCATCTATGTTCACAATATCCACAAAATTCACTTCTGGTAGTTAAGCATATGTTTTAGGTTCTGCTAATAATGCTTGCGGTAGCAGCAAGTAGCAGGAGCTGTTTCTGTGTATCGCGGCGGAGGTGCTAATTTATAATGATTTTTGCGTGATTGCGACGCAAAAACGTAATCGCGGCCTCGTGTAGAGCCTGCTTTCCACGACAGCAACAAGCTCCCAGAACCGTGAATATAAGAAATGGGGGTATAGGCAGCAAGTATAAAATGAAATGACCGAGACATCAGCAACACAATGTTGTTAGCATAACATGCAGATCTATACAAAGACGGCGTGCACAGTAGAAACACGCTGCAGCAGATAGTTTCGTCATGAAAATAAAAAATGATTACGTACTTGAAAAAGCCTGTTACAAGTTCATAAGCATGTCTTCCGGCTTGTGTAGCAAAGTATAGTGAAATGGCAAAGGTAAGGCTGCAAAACAGTTAAGAACGAAGTGAGGGAAGCAATAAAACACAGATCGCCCAAAGTATCTTCCAGAGTTACCAATATAGACAATGAGAGGAGGTAGAAATTATTCAGCAGAATGAATATACACAAACAACAGAAGTCTATTTTGCAATTTGACTTTGGGAAGATATGAAAAAACAGTGCAGCGAGAGTTGTCGCTGGCGCACTGTTTTGCGCTGGAGCAGCCTGCGAAATCGCGCTGAGAAAAAGTTTGAGGGCTTGTGAATAGACGGAGAGGGAGGGGGGGGGGGGGGTTGGAGCAATTGAAGAACGAATGGATGAGCAACAGAATGTAGAGTACATTTGTGTGAAAAGCTTTGAAAAATGATGTGAATCCGGAAAAATTTATGTCTTTTTCTTTTTACAATCACCTCAGGTGGCTGTCCAGGTGTCCAAAAAAAGTTTGCCGCGACTTTAGTTCTCATAACTTCTTCATAATTTTTTGCACATAGTACTATCCTCCCATTGCCCATCTACACAACTCGGATGCTAAGAGCGGACGAGTTGTGTAGATGGCCGGCGTCCTTAATTTGGGAGCGTAACCGGGGTGCGGCCGACCCGCGGCTCTTCGTTCATCTCATTATCATTTATAGAGTGTCAGGCCGAGGCAGGCCGAGATGTCGAATGAAGGATGCGACTCGGCCACTTCTGATGTTTGAATGAAAAGGATACTCGCATGATGTGCAGCGCATGGGCAGACTGTGTCCTCAATAGCCTTGGTTGTTCACTGAGGTAGAAACGAGATCACTTATTGTCTTATAAACAACTTCGATAGCATTTTGATTATCCAACCTTGAAGTCGAACTGGTGCTGTAATATCGGTGGCTTTGATTTTTGTTTATTCGCTGTATGTTTTCTTATGTGCCATGTTGCGCTAAGGCCCAATTAGGCCGAGCTAGAATAAACTACGGACGGCCCGACAACCAGCTGCGGCTGGGCCGAGGCCCATGTGCGGCCGAGCCAAGGCTCATCCAGTGGTATGCTTATCCGCAAAAACGATATCCCCTTTGCTTTTATCTCCGAAACGATATCCAGTTGCCTGGCAAGCCACCTGTGCCGAGCCCTGCTGCTGCGGTCTGATTAAACACACAACCTTCACCTGCGTATGAGAAAATTGTATGACACTCTATAAAACGAAAAGCATTTGAGAATTTCCTACACGACAGTTCAAAAGGACTTAAAATCATGTTATTCTACTGCAGTCGTCTTAGACATGATCAGAAATTGTGAATAACTTTGGAAGATTATTGCATACATTGGTTATGCTCAGGTTTCAATACACAGTCTCCCTTTCTCTAGAGTCGCACTTTCTGGCCTTTTTCTAATCTTTCAAAGCTTTCAATATAAATGCATTAAAAATCTAAGTATTTTGCTTCTCATTTAGTCTTATCGCCTTTATAAACTGTCTGCTTTGAAGAACGCTCAACAAGAAAGGTATTTAACTCGATGGCCTAACTCAGTAAGGTGTATACCATAATGACCGCCATGTTGATTACGAATACTCTACAATACCATTCACAGAGTGCAATATTTCCGTGAATGTCGCGGAAATTTGAAAATTCCGCAGAGGCCCGCGACATTCCCGGATTCCGCGACATTCCGGGACTATTGCGAAATTCCGGTAATTTCTCGGAATCACGCATGTCACGCAAATTACGCGGGGCCGTAACTCCCTTCGGAATAAATAAATTCTAAGTAAGAAGCAGCAATATGTTCAGCTCGTTAAGGCAAATCTTGTATTATACAGCATGTCCTCGATATTCCGTTTCTAGTTTTCCCGAATTTTTCTGCAAAGGTCCTTTCGCAAGGATGTAACGAAGCGCCTATCCAACGCAAAAAATAGGTATAATTATTACTCGATAGTACTATTCATATAAATTATATTTCCCTAAAAGTAGCAGCAAACTCTTTTCCTCGTATGCACGTACGTCACCGCTGGGGAGAGGAAGGGATATGGGAGGGGATGCCCCATATCTTGCCACTCCAGGTATCGTTTTTCTTTTTTCTCCATCTCGCTCATGAGTGCTCTTATACACTTATACCTGCGCATAATGGATGCAAGGTTACTTTCATGAGAGGTTGGTTTTTCGCCATTTTGTGTGATCCCTTGGGAACCCCAGGGATTCCCAAAGAATCACCTGTCATTTTCAAAGTCAATTATCTTTCTGAGAAATCAGTGAAATTGTTGCAAACTTGTACTGAGGTACTACAGGATTATTACGGCACTGATAAGCACGCTTTCGAAAAAGGAAGTTCAATTTGAAGACTCTGAATTTTTCGATAATCCCTAGCTCGCGAACAGAGGTTTATCGAAGATTTCGATATCTTGAGATTTTACTTGTTTCTACTATAAAAATGTTTAGCAGTGTCGTAGTACATCCTCAGTACAGCATGCGGGCCTAGAAGAGATGCATTGATGAATTCTGGAAAAATAACGCCTTTTCAAATTGTATCGCCTTAACTTCCTTGGGAATAAAAAATCTCTAAATCCGAAGAAAGCAATGTGCTCAGCTCATCAAAGCGAACCTTTCCATGTAAGCATGTCCTTGCTATTCCGTCAATATTCTCGAATCTTTCTGTGAATGTCTCTTCGCAAAGGTGTAAAACTGCGCGCATTGCCCTAAGTAGATTCCAACAAGGATTTCTTCGAGATTTTTCTTAAAGATTATAATGCGTTAGAAAGGCTTAATGGATTTTTCTGTGTTGGATTTGATAGTTAGATAAATCTGAGCTCTAGCTACAAAACTGCTTTGATATTCAAGCGGCTGAAGCACACGCAAACACCACATACATTACATGGGATTCCTTGGGCGAACTAAACATAACATTTGCTATCAGAATGTTCTACAATCACTCAAGGTAGAATTTCGACAAAATTTTGCGATCTTTAGATTTTGGGCAAAATTCATGAAAACGAGTTTTCGTGAGCCCTCGGCCATTTTTGTAGATTGGAGCCTGAAACGTTCACCATTCGATAACACAGTTCCTAGTACCTCTAACCTATAGGAGCAAGCAGGCAAGTTTTCTGACAGGTACGTGAAAAGTGCAGGCAACATTACGATCATCGCAACTCACAGTTTCCTCGCCATATTTTTTGCAAAAACACCCTGTATTCTTTAAGGATTGCAATTTTCTAAACAGCGTGTTCGAAAACGTCTATAAGCGAAGACTCCTCACAATCCAAGATCATCAACATTCTGATAGAATCTTAGCAAGCTTCAGAGCGTCCAGAGAAAAAATGAAATCACCCGAACGTATCTTAAAACTTGCTCAAAAAGGTTATCCGACCTGCTGATTATGAGAATCACATCTGCTCAGCAAGAAAGCTTCATATTTTAGGACTATGGTGAAAGATAGACCAACATGACTTTTCTAGAATTTACCAGATCTTATACTTCCTTTTGGAGGAAGTCCGCGGCTACTTTCTAACGCACTATAATCTTTTGAAAAATTCGAAAAAATCCTTGTTGGGATCTACATGGGAATGCGCACTGTTTTACACCTTTGCGAAGAGACGTCCACAGAAAGATTTGAGAATACTGAATCCGGAATATCAAGGAGATGCTGTATATTGAAAGGTTCGCCCTGATGAGCTGAGCACATTGCTTCCTTCAAATTAAAGATTATTCAATTTCGAAGATTCTAAAGAAAGTTAGGGCGAGTACAATTCGGGAAGGCGTAAGTTTTTTAGAATTCACCAGCTTCCATCTCTCTTCAAAAATTCTGCGGCTCTTTTTAGCACACTATAATCTATATGAATTATATTATCGAATCCTCTTATCCCTATCCGCTGCGTTACAATCCTTGCGAAAGGACCATCGCGGAAAAATTTGAGAAAACTGGAAACGGAATATCGGGAACATGTTGTGCATTGCAAGGTTCGCCTCAAAGGCAGCGCCCAGAGATTCTCGACTTCTATATTTTTATGTTATTCAGGCCTTTCCATGGCGCTGATTTTGAATATGGAACTCAAAAAGCGTGAATTTCTCAGAAAACCACCTTTTGGAGCTATTTTGGAAAACCAGGACAAGCGCTTTTAATGTTATTCTTGTCGAAAGCAAGTATTAACTAAACGTTGTAAGTTCTACTGTGTTGGTCATGTGAAAACACGTTGCTGAGGAGATTTCGTTCATAAGGGGTGGGGCGTCCGAAGGAAGAGTGCGTGGTCGTCGAGCTCGGATTTGCCTGGACGCTGCCTTTAACGAGCTGAACACAATGCTGCTTTTCAGAATTTATTCATTTCAAAGGAAGTTACGGTCCTGCGTAGTTTGCGCGACTTGCGTAACTCGCGGAATTACCGGAATTTCGCAATATTCTATGAATTCGCGAAATCCGGGGACGTCCCGGGCTTCCCCCGAAATCCCCGGAATTCCGCGACTTTCACGGAAATTTTGCACATTCTATGAGCGGTATTGTGCAGGCATTTGTTTTAGCTTGAAAGTCCAAAGCTGAATTATGTTGTTTGTTCCATAAGGTAGCCAGACGTCTTCAAAATTACTATTAGGTCGTGTATTAAGTTCTGTCCCATTTTTTGCTTTAGTTTTTTCTTGACAACATTGACTGTATTTGAGGTGACGATGTATATGCTTTTGAAAGCTCTAAGTCTGCTCTGCAAGTCAGCATCATTCTCCAAACAAAGCAGGCAGTTGAAAAGATTTTAATCATTGAAACAAAAAATCCAAAAAGCCGAAAAATCAATTTTTGCCTTTTTTCTCCTCAAAATTTTTCTCGATTTTTATTTGTAAAACTTATTGAACAAGCTTGACAACAATCAAAACAATCTATCGGATTCTTCTTATTCTATCACTGTTTGCGCATGTTCCCTTTCTTCCACCGGCTATTTAATGACATTTTTTCAAAACTTGGTCACGGCGATGTTTGCCGTCTCGCGTACCCAAGCTGTGTGGCTCCCACAATCCGAATTTTTAGTATTTAACCTACGAATTCGATGATTTTGAAGCCACAAACCATCCCTTCTGTCTTTTCTGGATGTTCTGCCTACCCGTCTTCCCTCAGGATGTTTTCAGATGATGCCCAACACCAACGTTGAAAAGACGTTAGAAAGAAAATTTTTCAAACTCTACAGAAATAATTTTTGAAAGGTTTCACCACATCTGAAGCGCAATAGAAGCTAGAGCATTCTTTGCTTACGTGTAGCAAATTCTTCGAGCTTATTCCTAGGCATTCTGACTAATTAGGAGAGCGAGGTAACGAGTTGTCGAAAATGGACTTCTTCCCTGTTTGATTTCCCAAATTTGACGCTGTAAAACTTCTTCAAGTCATCCGATGTAGAAAACCGAGATGGAAATTTTAGTAGAGAAGGCTTAGAGCTTTCAAATGCTTATAAACAATTCAGAACATCGCGCAAAATATTGAGAAAAATCGAAAGAAAAAGTGGGAGAGAACTCATTACACAACCTAATACAATTGATTTTTTTTGTGCAATGAATATTCAAACATTCAGGCATGTAATTCTGTTGCAAATTGGCATTTACCATGACTTTAGGTCATTCAGAAGTTTCCTGGCTATGCAATTTAGAGCCAGAAGAATGCCTGTAGCTTTGTTTAGTAAGCCGGCAGACAGTGAAGACTGTTTTAAAATCACCGTTTGAAAACGTTTGAATGATATGATCTTACTGGGGAAAGCCCACTTCAACTCACGCGCCTTCCCTTGTTATTTATGGCATATCGTTCGATTCATTAAAACGTACTGCCCAAACCTGCTGTCCACGCGCGGCGCAGCTGAATTGTCGCGAGAGCACGACTTGGCGTACAGTGGCAAATTTGCTAGAGCAAGCGTTCTGCTTGCGCGTGCTCCGCAGCGATGTTCAGTCCGTGCGCTCAACGAATCAACTATTTAAAGTATTTATTTCTCAAGTAAGTTTCGGCTCAAAATAATGCCTCTAATACATCCTCTGGTCCTTTTTCAACTCTTCATTCAGACATTGGTGACAAACTTGAAGTGGAATATGATCTATGTTTACGTGTAGAGGTCATTTTGCAGAGACACTTGCAAGACGCTTTCTAGGCATTCGCGATCATGATCCACACAAAGTGTTCCATGATGTGGTAGTCACTAGAGATGCAGGTTCCATGAGTAACCATTTTTTGTTTTTCTTTTCGAGGTAATGAGATTTTCACTAACGCCCTGACAAACATGAAAAACCCATCCTGGCGAAATGAAGCATGCTTTGCCTTTTCTGGCCATTGGTTTTCAGCGCTTTTTTATGGTGTTAGGTGGTACATGCAGCTAGATATAGAATCTTTGCGAAGTGGAGGTCTTCACATTTGTCCGCAGAATGGGCGAGCCTTTTTGAAATTTTTTCATCTTCCATCGCGCAACTCTGATGAGCCACGCTAGAATATGGACATGCTTAAATGATATGATAGCAACGGCTATTAATCAGATCATGCACTATATTTTCCCATCAAAAATACACCATATTCATAATTGACAGCTTATCGTAAGACAGCTTATTACCATTTGACTCCTTCAGCTCAATTACATTGACATACATTATGACAAAGCTCATGTTCGTTTACGTTATCTCATTAATCATCAATGGAATTGAGAAAGCAACGTTTTTCCTGTTATCTTATGAGCTCGCTGGTATGCTTGCTGCTAAACCGCTCCTGCGAAAGTTAAACTTTGACGTAAGTTCCATATTTTCCAATATTTCATCATATCAAAATTACATCTCAAGCCTAAAAACAGCGTATGGATAAGCCCCTCTCATGGACTATTTCAAGGAATCGTGTTGCAAGGAAAGACTGGTATGTTCTTACAGGAAATGCTTACGAAAGCCGATTCAATATCAAATAAAGCATTGCTAAATGTTTTTGCAAAAAGTCTATCTGGGCTTGCAACTATCTCGTATGAGAAGCAACTCTCTTTTGTTCTCGTTCGCTCGAAAATATCTTCAATTCTTTGACCGCGCGGACTGCTTAAGAGCAATGTCCAGTTAAAGTTTCCTGGAATTTTGGACGCTTCTGACTGTGGTAAGTAATTAGTATGCCAGCACGAGGTTAGTAGATTTATTGTTAGTAATGGCGGTCTAACGTTTCGACGATTTCGTCTTCTTCAGAGGCCTAAAGTGGTAGGAGATTTAGATCTTATGCTCTACCCCACCACAAACCTCCTCCACCCCTGGCCAGCCTCGATTCCACCCCCGAATGTTATAAACAAAAATACACAAGTATGCAAAAGACGAACTGACCTCCTCCGCCGCTGCCGCCCAGGTGGATGTTGAATGCGGCCGTCCTCGAGTGCCACTAGTATGGAATACAGTGTATACCATGTTGATATTAATCAGTAACATTCTTCAACTCACATAATGCCATAAAAGGCATAAAGTCATTCGTGATTGACGCGCACTCATTTCGGTTGTTCATGCATGGATTTCTTGCAAAAATCCAGAATGCCTCGAGAGCTTTTCTATTAGCAGTATCAGACTCGTATGCCAGTATAGTGCACGTAATTTCGAAGTCTTTACCACAATGGAATTCAACCCTATGTTTACCAAGCGGTGTGATAAGACTTCCCCGTCTTTTGCTGGCAAGATGTTCTTTTATTCTTACCCAAAGCGGTCTCCCAGTCTCTCCGATGTAAGTGGCGCTGCACTCGACACATTCAATCTCATATATAACACCCGTTTTACCGCAGTCACCAACTTTACCGGATGGACAAACTACGCGGTCTTGGACTCTGCAGTAGTTGTCGTATAATCTGTTACGAACTAGCCGCTTTCTGATGTTATCACGAATATCAACTAAAATGACATCGTCTTTCAAATTCGCACGATCAATGCATCGCCGCACTGCAGCACTAGTCTCGTCAGAAACGAAAGGAAAGCAAAGAGGTACTTTCTGTTGGTGCTGATTGCTATGAGTGGAAATGGATGGTCTTTTGCGTCCTTTTTGGGGCGCGCAACCATTCATTCGAGCAATCTCCAGCGCCCTACTTTGTGATTCCTTCCGTTCTTCTTCTCCTGTGCATACGTTCATTGCCGTTTTGAGCATGTTACGAAGCTCTTTTAACAGCGATCGGATGTGCAGAACGAGTGATCAAGATATTCTTGGAACTCTCTTTACGATACCATTTCACACTCGCAGCGCCGTTGAACAGTTTGATTTGTACGTTGAGAAAGGAGAGCCAACCATTTTTCGGTTGCTGCGTAAGCTTTATGTGCTGTGACTGTTGATTGAGTAGTCGAAAACACTCATCCATTTCGGATTGTGTTGATGTTATGACGCAACAGTCATCGATGTAACGGCAATACATAAGAGGCATACGTGACAGCACTGGTTCTTCTATTCTGCTCATAAAGCAGATCGACAGTACTGGAGCTAGTCTCTGTCCCATTGCAAGACCTCTTAGTTGAGTATAGTATGTTCCTGACCACCGAAAGATGTTACAAGAAAGGCATTCTTGGATCAGGAGCATAACCGATCTTGTACTCAACCCGAAGGTCTAGATGTTGTTACCAAAGCTGTCCAACATTTCCGAAACTGCCTGCAGAGCATCATCATTTTGAACATTCGTATACAGAGACACGACGTAAAAGATTCTGCTATACATTGCGTTTTCAAAGTAGTGCTGCGAAGGCGTTCCAAGAAATGATTCGTATTGGTTAAATGAGACGGAACTTTGTCCAGAAGCTGATTAACAATCTTATTCAATATTCAAGACGGGGAAGTCTTATCACACCGCTTGGTAAACATAGGGTTGAATTCATTTGTGGTAAAGACTTCGAAATTACGTGCACTATACTGGCATACGAGTCTGATACTGCTAATAGAAAATCTCTCGAGGCATTCTGGATTTTTGCAAGAAATCCATGCATGAACAACCGAAATGAGTGCGCGTCAATCACGAATGACTTTATGCCTTTTATGGCATTACTAGCTGGCTTACCCGGCTCCGCCCGGCGCCACATACACTTCGGTAAAAAAAGCCGAAGTTGTATTCCTCAAAAAGAGGAGTACAACTTCGGCTCATTAATTGTGGTTGTTTTCAACAGAGGCAACCGATGGTTGTCCTCAACAGAGACAACCGATGGTTGTACCGATGGTTGTCCTCAAGAGAGGCAACCGATGGTTGTACCGATGGTTGTCCTCAACAGAGGCAACCGATGGTCGTCCTCAACGGAGGCAACCGATGGTTGTCCTCAACAGAAGCAAACGACGGTTGTACCGATGGTTATCCCCAACAGAGGCAACCCATGGTTGTCCTCAACAGAGGCAACCGATGGTTATACCGTTGGTTGTCCTCAAGAGAGGCAACCGATGGTTGTACCGATGGTTGTCCTCAAGGGAGGCAACCGATGGTTGTACCGATGGTTGTCCTCAACGGAGGCAACCGATGGTTGTACCTATGGTTGTCCCCAACAGAGGCAACCGATGGTTGTCCTCAACGGAGGCAACCGATGGTTGTAGCGATGGTTGTCCTCCAAGTGAGGCAACCGATGGATGTCCTCGATAGACATCCGATGGTTGTCCTCCGAGTGAGGCAACCGATGGTTGTCCTCCAAGTGAGGCAACCGATGGCTGTCCTCGATAGACATCCAATGGTTGTCCTCCGAGTGAGGCAACCGATGGTTGTCTTCCAAGTGAGGCAACCGATGGCTGTCTTCGATAGAGACAACCGATGGTTGTCCTCCGAGTGAGGCAACCGATGGTTGTCGTCGATAGAGACAACCCATGGCTGTTCTCAACAGAGGCAACCGATGGCTGTTCTCAACAGAGGCAACCGATGATTGTCCTCGACAGAGGCAACCGATGGTTGTCCTCAACAGAGGCAACCGATGGTTGGTACGATGGTTGTCCTCAACAGAGGCAACCGATGGTTGTACCGATGGTTGTCCTCAACAGAGGCAGCCGATGCCGATAGTCGTCCTTCCGTTTCGTTCCTCAAGAAGAGGATGTACCGTTTCGTTCCTACCCTCAGACGGTTTCGCTAAACAGGTCCTAGGCTTTCCCCGGAACTCATCAGTAAGGAGGGAAACTCGACTGGATCTGTCCAGCTTCTTGTTTGTCCCACCCACCTGCCCTGACCGCCGCTGTCCTCCGTTTTTTTGGGTTTTCGTTTTGCCATTTTTTTGGGTTTTCGTTTTGCCATTTTTTTTGGATTTTGTGTTTTCCAATTTTTTTGGATTTTCCAATAGAATGGCATGCAACAAATAAATACTGTACTATACTACAGCATGCAATTATGTTAGCGCCCTGGGATACACTACGTTAGCCGTGCTCCCTTCGGGCGCATATATGTACAGGTTCGCCGGACTCCCGACCCTCGAACACGCCACGTACAGTTGACCATGCGAAAAACAGGGAGTTTCCAGGTCTACTCCTACTGTTCGTAGAGACTGTCCTTGCGCTTTGTTGATCGTCATAGCAAGTGCAGGCCTGACCGGAAACTGCACTCGCCTGAACTCAAAGGGCATATCGGAGGGGACGAAAGGGATTCGTGGAACATGAACGACTTCGCCTTTGAACTTCCCCGCCAATATGGTCGCTACTATGACGTTTGGCATGAGATCCCTGATGCAAAGCCTTGTACCATTGCACATCCTCGGTGGGTTGATGTTACGAAGGAGCATGATTGGCAAACCAACCTTCAGATCAAGTCTGTGAGGTGGTATCCCATTGAGCTGGAGTGAATTCAAGAACTCAGTGGGGAAGTAAACAGCCTGCTCACGCTGAACCATGGTATCAAAGGACGTGTACGTTGATACCGGTCCAGGCAGGCTGTTTAAAATCTGAGCATTGATAGAATCCACTTGCTCATTTTTGGGTGCCAGAATTGCTCGCTCGCAAATCCAGTCCCCATTGCTGAAGTTGGTGGCAATGTTTGGGAAGACCTTTTCGATCAGTTCTCCCACCGATTGAACCATATTGCAGAAGTCTGGAGGAAAGGTAATCCATCCAGAACTTGGTTCGACCGGAATTCTGCCTTCGCCAAGAAGCAACAGCTGTTGCGCAAAGTTTCGGGCAGTCTCATCGCCAAGGAGGTGGACTCGCATGTTCGTCGTGAGATTCAGCGATCGAACATGTCTCCAGAGAGGAGAAGCTTTGAGGCAAGCGTTCAGCTCATCTGCTGGAGTCAATCGCGGAACCACTGGCAGAGTTTGACGAAAGTCGCCTGCCAGTAACACGACGACCCCACCCATTAGCGTGTTGCTTTCTCGTATGTCCCGTAGTGTGTTGTCAAGGGCTTCTAGGCACTTCTTATGCGCCATGGTGCATTCGTCCCAAACTATGAGTTTGGCTTCCTGCAGCACCTTGGCTTTCCCTGTGCCCTTGCTTATCCCACACACTGGGTGCTCTACATGAGCAATATCCAGAGGAAGCTTGAAGGCTGAATGGGCAGTTCGGCCTCCCTCTAGCAGTGTTGAGGCAATCCCCGAGGATGCCACTGCTACTGCGATCCCTCCTTGTCTGCGAATCTCGGCAAGTAGGAGATTGATGAGAAACGTTTTCCCTGTTCCACCCGGAGCGTCGAGAAAGAGTAGCCCACCTTTGCCACTGGAAATCGTGTCCAGAACAGCACGGTAAACCAACTCTTGATCCTCCGTAAGAAGAGGTCTGTTAGACTCTACAAATGTGGTCAGCTGATCGGCATCATAGGACCTCTCTCGGAGAACATCGCTCTCGAGTGCCTGGTCATCTCCGCGTACTGGCGACGGCAAACCGAGGTCTCTGAGAGTTTGACCAGTCATCGACACGCACGTATCCTCAAGCAGTATCAACGCTCGGTTGAATATCTGGGGAGAGTA